TATATATAGAGAGAGAGAGAGAGAGAGAGAGAGAGAGAGAGAGCTTACTCTTCAATCTCTCCATAAGATCCAAACAATTTAGACAATTCATCACCGCATCCCAATGCCGGAACGTTCCTCACGATCAAATATCTGTGATGAACACAATTCAATCGTTCAAAAACAACCAAGTTGCAATGGAAAATTCAAATTTATACAACGAATTAGGGTTGCTTTGCCAACAAACAAGATTGATATAGATATAGACTAGATATATAGAGAGAAACAAACTTTGATTCGTCGCAAACTGTATACACTCGAACTGCAGGTGAGTCGTCTCTGTATCGAGACATGTCCGATTGCTGAACTCTCTCTCTCTGACATGAAACACATTTGTTATGAGAAGACGAAGGCGCGCAAGTTAGCAAATGCCAGCATGGGCCTCAACTTTGGGTCTTGTTTTGGGCTTGTTAATGTTTGATCACTGTCTAGCTATGGATACAGAACATGGGCCCCTTGGATTACAACTTTGATTCATTTAATCCAAAGGGCCCGTGTAAGTGTGAATATATATATATATATATATGATGGAAAAATATCTACTTTAAAAAAATTGGGCAAGTGCTCCGATTCAATTCATGTAAGTAGTCAGGTGGAAATTAAACAGGCAGATGTCATTTTATAAAATAGTAGCAAACCTTGTCAGAAGTAACCCTTGTCATTGAAGAATCTTTACTGTGAGAAATATGTTGCGACTCTCCAGTATCCCTACGGTAAGAACAAAAAAACTCATCTCTTATATTACAATAAAAGAGCGTCCACGGAGCTTTATTGACAGAACAACTGCAAATTTGAACTGAATCGCATACTATACCTTTGGCTAGAGTTTATCAATTGGGAAGTGCTGCGTGTTTCTGGTGGAGATGCAACCACGGATGGTTTGGATCTTCCAGCTGAAATCATTGAGATATTGGCAAAACAACCAAAAAAAAAAAAAACGCTTAGTTTTTCAATTCAACAACTGAAGAACATTTTCCTCTTATCTACCTGAAAATATCATAAATCAGGATTATGCAAATATCAAGAAAAGAACCTTACGATTCAAGCGTGCTAGAACTTCCTTTCTACGGCCTTCTAATTTATCCTTGGTGTCTGACAGGCTCTCGTAATGAGGTGCATATGAGACCTGAAGTCGATTCCCAAGGAAAACAAACTCATCCAATTTCCTTTTTGCAAACCTATAACCAGAAAGAATTAAAGCTTCAAACACCACTAAATTCGAATAAGAATAAGTATTAACATCAATATATTAGACACAAAATTTAGAGGTTTATACACAGATGACACATCAAAGAATTTTAAGCACCTTGCATTGTTGACTACATAAAATTTGATCCAGTAAACATCGGTGAATGGTTCGCAGTCTTCATCATCCTTTGGTTTGCATCTGAAGAAGGCAAATAAATGAATCAATGTAATGTAACCCACCTCTCAAATAACACTAATATAACAATTATGTCTAATAAGTATAAGGTTTGAACACAACTTTCCAAAGCACTAGAAGTGCAATATTCTGAAAATGATGATAACTCCTCTCAACTAAAGAAATTGCAAATAAATTCTGACAGAGTCAAGAAGACAAATATACAGAAATGAATCACATTATTTTTTTTGATAACCTAGTATCTTCTGGCCCATTGGACCGCCTAATCCAGAGGACAAATCACACCCTCCACTACCAGAGGACCTGATTAAAGTCGGGGCAAAGTCCTGAGACCTTGGAGAGAGCACAGCCTAGGTCAACCCTTGGATTTCATAAATGAATCACATTATATCACCCCAATTCTACAATTCTGGCATAATCAAAAGGAAAATAATAATAATAATTTGATTTAAAAGCAAGAGCAAGGAAACATGTGTGTAATATATGTCAAATCGAATCCTGAATCATTTTACTAAAATAGTAAATTATGAATTGTAAGATTCTCTATATTTAGCATAATATATATAAAAAAATCAACGTCATTTCATACATTAGGTAAATTGTAAATTATGAATTGTGAATTTGGTTTAAATTTGATACGTATCATGTATCTATATATATATATATATATATATATAGAGAGAGAGAGAGAGAGAGAGAGAGAGAGAGAGAGCTTACTCTTCAATCTCTCCATAAGATCCAAACAATTTAGACAATTCATCACCGCATCCCAATGCCGGAACGTTCCTCACGATCAAATATCTGTGATGAACACAATTCAATCGTTCAAAAACAACCAAGTTGCAATGGAAAATTCAAATTTATACAACGAATTAGGGTTGCTTTGCCAACAAACAAGATTGATATAGATATAGACTAGATATATAGAGAGAAACAAACTTTGATTCGTCGCAAACTGTATACACTCGAACTGCAGGTGAGTCGTCTCTGTATCGAGACATGTCCGATTGCTGAACTCTCTCTCTGTGACATGAAACACATTTGTTATGAGAAGACGAAGGCGCGCAAGTTAGCAAATGCCAGCATGGGCCTCAACTTTGGGTCTTGTTTTGGGCTTGTTAATGTTTGATCACTGTCTAGCTATGGATACAGAACATGGGCCCCTTGGGTTGGGCCCAATATATTTTAGAATGCAAAATTTAATTACGGAACGCGACACAAAATGTGTGATTCTCGACACAAAAAAAAACATTTTAAAAAAAGTATAGAAGTGCAAAAATGACCCGCAATCTGTGGGCAGCCCGAAAACTGCTCACAGTCTGGGGTGGAGCTAGCTCGTTTAGGCCCATTTGGGCCCCGGCCCAGCCTAAGACCTTAGGCCAGGGTCTAGACTATCATTTTGAAGCTCGGCTCAACCTGTGGGCCTGGCCCGCTTAAGGCCCACTTAAGGCCCGGCCTGAGGCCTGGCCCGCGCAGAGACCCAGTGTTTTTTTTAGTGAAAAATAATAAAATTTTGGTGAAAAAAATAAACATAAAAAAATTTGTTTAGACTCACCCAAGCTCGAGCCCAGGCCAGGAGGCCCACCGCCTTGCCCAAGGCCTGAATATCCCCTGGATCTAATTTTTTGGCCTGTGGGCCGGCTCGGCCTGGCTCGAATTTTGGCAAAAGCCCACGAGGTCCAACGTGGCCGGGCCGGGCCAAATTTAGGCCTCGTTTGACAAGTTAACATTTTAGCAAAAAAGTCAAAAAGTTACTAAAAAAGTAAAAAAACCTATAACCTATACCAAAAAGTCAAAGATTCCCTTTTCTCTCTATTTTTTGCACATCTTTTCGTAAAAAGTCAAAAAGTCACCCCAAATATATTAGTTTTTTTTACTTCATATATTAGCCAAAAAGTCAAAAAGTTACTAAAATAACATGTTCCCAAACGAGGCCTTACACCCCTATGTTTTGTGTTTATTTTTGAAGGATTTTGTCAAAATTCCCTCATAATAAAATTTTAATGTATTAAGGAAAATTACAAAAAAAAATTCTTGAAAAGTCGAACAAATATCACTATTATTAAAATATCAAATTTTAAAATAATATAACTTTTAATGTAGATATCAATTTTTTAAAAAATTAATATTTTTAGAATTCTCTCATCAAGGTCTATCAAATGATCCATGTTGACTATGAAATTCTTTTTTTAAAAAAAAGTATTACAGGTGAAATTGATGTAAACAGTAACATGTTACCGTTACCCTGTTTTACAGTAATATGTTACTCTGACAATATTGTCCAAAAGAAAAATATATATATATATATATATATATTATTTTGTCCTTATTCAATTATGTATTTTTTTTCTTAAAGAGTTTATGAAAAAAAAAAATTAAATTGTCATTTTCATCGAACAAAGGTCCAATGGAGGGATTTTCCTTTATTTTTGTGTTTGTAATAGAATTATTGAGGCTAGAATAAAACCTGGGCCAACTCACCCAATAATAAGAAGCATGTGACAATTTTTCAAAAAAATAAAATTAAAATGACCACATAATAAGAAGAACACATAATTCAATCATTCTGTCAAGAAAAAGTCTAGGTGCACAGAAGGTTTGAAATACATAATGTACATATGTGACACAGATTTGTGCATTCTATGTGTCACATCTGTGCATTACGTGTTTCAAACCTTTTGTGCACGTAGCATGATTGTCCTGTCAATGTACAACTTTTTATTACTATATAGAAATATTTTGTATCACGCTTGTAAAATGTTAAGAACTTAAAAATCAAATTCCCAAGAAATCTTAGTTATGGGCTTCCTCATAGTATTGAAAACAATCAATGACTTTATATTGAAAAATAAAATAAAATTGTACGGAAATTTATAAATAGTTGAAAACTTCATAAAAAAATAGACATGCAAAATGATTGCCAAAACACTACAAAAAAAATGCATAAACAACAATTTTAAAATTCAATGTATGTAAACTAAACTATCATTACTAAACAAAATAACAAACAAAAGGGAATAAATTGTTGAACGAATGCAGAAGCATCATCATATACGATCAATGCTGATTCATCATAGACTTGACAAGGTTTAAAATGTGGAAATAGTCAAAGAACAAAGAAGACTGCTTTTCCTCATGCCTGTCTCTGCTGACACGATTGCCCCCAATAAGATTATTACAATGGCTCCCACCAATCATGAGATCAATCCCACTATACGACTCAATCCATCGGGCGATCATATGAGCATTCACGTCTTGCACGTATTCAATGTGAATTAGATTGCCTTTCTGGTTTGTTTCTTCCCACCACCAATGGAGAATGGTTTGACATATCTCTAATTTCTCAACAGAAACTATGTTCTTTAAAGGAATCCCAAGTCTGTGCAATGCGATGCTAGCTTCACCAATTCCAGAGAAAAGCGAAAGGAGGTTAATGCCACCAAGGAACAAAGACTTCAAGACTGAAAGATGGTATCCCATTGTATCAACCTGCAACAAATTCATTTGAGGAGGGAAAGGAAAATGAAAGGAAACATGACAAAAAATTAGTTTCTAGTTTCTAATTCATTCACATGTGACAAAAATATACTTTCAAGTTTCTATTTTATTCACTTTTCTTTACCACTATCAATGGAGGGAAGAAAGATAAACATGCAAAAAATTTAGTTTCTAGTTTCTATTTCATTCACATGTGAAAAAAAAATGTTTCTAGTTTCTATTTCATTCACTTTTCTTTACATATATCAATGGAAGGAAAAGAAATAGGAAAGAGAAACACGACAAAAATTTTATTTTTAATTTCTATTTCCTTCATTTTTTTCTATCATTTCCCAAATCTTGCCTCAAATATTTAAATTAAACACAGCCTAAGGAAAAACTAATATAGACTATATGATCATGATGCTATGGAGTCAAACCTAAAAAGTGTTACCAAGCATTTTGTATATTTTGTTTCGACTGACTGCCCTCATGTGGTTTCTTGGAAACCCCCATCACTATCTCTATCTTATTAAGTTCAACTAGTGCAACCTTGTTCTTCCCAACCCAAACCAAGTTCCATTTCTTGCACTGCTCGAGCACGTATTTTTGGACGTCTAGGGGAGGTTCTCCATTTGACTTTTCAAGTACCTTTTCGTATCCTCTCAGTGAGTTTTGCACTTCCAACACAAGTTAGAAGGTAATTCAACTTTGACCTTTTGTCCCATTTAGGTCACCATTTTTTCGTTAAAGGAAAAGCTTCTTGTATGGTTAGTGGTGGGATTGGAAGAAGTTGGAACCGATTGTCGGTTGGCAAGTTATGAATATATCCTCTTTTTCTGGCATTAGCATGGAAGAATCTTGGAGTCTACAAATTATGGCTCGATATCATATAAGAATCAGGAAATTATATCCAAACCCCTTTGGAGGTGAGTTCTACATTTTCGTAATAAAAATATGGGGGACCTACAATTGCCTTTGGACGTTTCATTAAACTGGATGGCTAATGGTCATGTTAACAAGGAGTAGATCTTTGATGAAATTCTATGGGTCTTCCAAAACAACTACACGTTCAGATTATTCTACCCCTATGTTGGTGCGCACTTGTTTTTTTATTTCAAAGTGTGATCGATGAACATTTACATCTCTTTAGAAGGAATCTTGAATAACTTATCAACTCTTTCTAAGGGAAATTGGGGTTTGCTCGATCTTGAATTAGGCACACTGCCATTTCAAAGTCCAACTCGATCTCCATCCCAATGACGCCTTTTTGTAGCGTGATGGTGAACTGTCTGTACATGGCCTAAATCTCAGCTTCTAGGTTCAAGCAATTTCCCAACTTCCCATAGTATCTCCAAAGCCATATTCAAGTCTGATCTCTCAGAATTCCACCATATCCCACTTGGCCTAGGTTTCTTTTTGAGCACCAATCCGTATTAGGCTTAAGCTTACTTGTAGAAGAAAAATAACACATAGTTAGCCTTGAGCACTATTGGTTGGGAAAAAAATAGAGGAATTTGAAATGATCCGTGGATCTCATTTGTAGAATTGAAGATCCTTCTCACATTAAGCTAAGAGGGTTGTGAAATTTACAAACTTTTCTGTGTGCAAAAGGTTTTTTTATTAAATTATTTGGATCCAAACTAAATAGAATCAAATGATTTGCAAAAAATTTCCATAGAATAAGTAAGAGAGCACAACTTGAACTGTAGACCAAAGGAGAAAATCAAAAACTTTTGGCAATGGTAACAAACAAAGCTCCTTATTTGGTCTTGAAATGTTTAACTTATATCCTAATTAGAGTTTTAAGTTTGGGGGATTTATTAATTTTTTAATAAATTCTTCCTTACATACTTATGTTTCACTTAGGTTTCGTTTGTTTATAAAGAAGCGTATGATAGAAAATGAAAATAGTAGAAAGCGAAGTGAAAGAAAGGAAAAAGAAACAAAAATTTATTTTCTTGCGTGCATTTGAATAGAAGAAAAATTTTGTAGGAAAATGATGGGAAAAAATATAATCACTGCATAACATGGAGTTGTGGAGAGAACTATGGGCAAAAGGAAAGCTTTGTGGGAAAAAATAAAATTTTTTCTATATATTTTGCAAGAAATTGTTAGCTTAACTAATAAGTTAATTTAAGTTGTAGAAGAAATTTTAGTTTCCAGGACTTTATTTAAAGAAATACATAATTTTTTTGTCTTTCACTTTCCTGTATATCTATCTAACCAAATTGAGTCTTAGTCAAAATTATTTTCTTATATTTCAATAAGTCCTATGGGTGACATAGTTACCAAATACCCCTAATACTACTACTACTACTACTACTACTACTACTACTACTAGTAATAATAATAATAATAGAGTGAAACACGTATTAATGTTCACATTTTCACACTGTCAAATTTATTTAATGTGAATGTTCACATCACCAAGTTGCTAAGGGTTCAAAAAATATTTGTAAGGGTAAAATTGTCCACGAAATACCTTAAATATGAAAATTATGATTTGGTAGATCAAATATTTAAAATAATAGAACTTATTGAAATATAAAAATATCTTATGAATTAGTTGTGATACAAGTACTTGAAGGAGAATTTTCTAATAAATCTCCTTTTTAA